GGGTCAACCCACATAGTGTGCTTGGGGTCGACCCACATAGTGTGCTTGGGGTCGACCCACATAGTGTGCTTGGGGTCAACCCACATAGTGTGCTTGGGGTCGACCCACATAGTGTGCTAGGGGTCGACCCACATAGTGTGCTTGGGGTCGACCCACATAGTGTACTTGGGGTCGACCCACATAGTGTGCTAGGGGTCGACCCACATAGTGTGCTTGGGGTCGACCCACACAGTGTGCTTGGGGTCAACCCACATAGTGTGCTTGGGGTCGACCCACATAGTGTGCTTGGGGTCGACCCACATAGTGTGCTAGGGGTCGACCCCACATAGTGTGCTTGGGGTCGACCCACACAGTGTGCTTGGGGTCGACCCACATAGTGTGCTTGGGGTCAACCCACATAGTGTGCTTGGGGTCGACCCACATAGTGTGCTTGGGGTCGACCCACATAGTGTGCTTGGGGTCAACCCACATAGTGTGCTTGGGGTCGACCCACATAGTGTGCTTGGGGTCGACCCACATAGTGTGCTTGGGGTCGACCCACGTGCCCTACTCAAGAAGTAACGCCTGATTTTCCCAGTCCCAGGTATTCCTCTTTAGTTTGAAATGTGGGGTTTATGGTCCATAGAGTTTTGACGTGATTAACACATGTTATCGATGCTCAGCTAACGTTGATAACGTTAATTAAACCCTGTTTCACTGTCAGAAACATTGATTTAACGTCGATAACGTTGATTCAGTGCTACTGGAGTATATTTTACCCACGGTGAGAGAGAACAGGAAGAATGAAGGGAGAGAGGAAGAGAGAGAGAGAGAGAGAGAGAGAGAGAGAGAGAGAGAGAGAGAGAGAGAGAGAGAGAGAGAGAGAGAGAGAGAGAGAGAGAGAGAGAGAGAGAGAGAGAGAGAGAGAGAGAGAGAGAGAGAGAGAGAGAGAGAGAGAGAGAGAGAGAGAGAGAGAGAGAGAGAGAGAGAGAGAGAGAGAGAGAGAGAGAGAGAGAGAGAGAGAGAGAGAGAGAGAGAGAGAGAGAGAGAGAGAGAGAGAGAGAGAGAGAGAGAGAGAGAGAGAGAGAGAGAGAGAGAGAGAGAGAAGCAGAGAGACAGAACGGGTAGGGAGGGGGGGGGGAGGGAGAGGCGCAGATGGAAGAGGGGAGAGAGAGATTGAGAGATAAACAGAGACTCGGGCACCGCTGGCTTGCCTATATAGTTATCCCATATATGACCCCAGCCAAAATCTGACCCTATTGCACAGATACAATATATTCTAGCAAAAGTTGGCTTCGTTCTCCACTCCCAATTGGGGGATCCCTGGTTCGATTCCCCTAGCTCGACCGAAATGGTTTGGCACGTTGCCTTTCGCCTAATGCTTCTGTATAGTCGATAGGTATTTGGGAGTTATTCAACTGTTGTGGGGTTTCATCCCCGGGAAAGTCAATAGTTCGATCATAAGAAGCCCTCTATACAAGTCGTAAGTATAAATTACTATTATTGACCTTGTTAATGTTCGACTCTGTTACGTATATGACTTCTACACAAAGTCTGACTCTGTCCCATATATGACCGCTACACAAAGTCTGACTCTGTTCCATATATGACTTCTCAGCCAGATTCTGAGCCCATCGCATTCTTGACCTCCTGGAAAAAGTCTGACACCATCCCACATTCACACGGCACAACATCACATACACACTAACATAGATGGAATTTCAAATAAAGCAAATGAGCTTGGAGAATGGGTACTAGAGGAAAACCCAGACATAATAGCTCTCACAGAAACAAAGCTAACGAAAACCATAACAAATGCAGTGTTCCCACAGGAATATTATGTTATGAGGAAAGGGACAGAAGGAAGAGGCGGTGGTGGTGTAGCTCTGCTGGTAAGAAAGGGCTGGGACTTTGAGGAGATGGTTATCCAGGGCTGTGAGGGTTTCAGTGACTACATAGCAGGTACCATAACAACTGGAGGACAAAAAATTATAGCCGTAGTCATATATAACCCACCACCGAATGACAGAAGATCCAGACAGGAATATGATAGAAACAACATGGCCACCATTAACATAATAGAGAGAGCAGCTTCTGTTGCCAGCAGGAATGGATCTGGACTGCTAATCATGAGAGACTTACATGAGATCCGCATGAAGGCCCAGAAACATGGAGAGCTAAGCTGCTGTAAGTGGCAGCAAGACACTTTTTAAGCCAGCACATAAAGGAACCAACATGAATGAGAGGAGAAGATGAACCAGCCATGCTCGATCTGATATTTACCCTAAATGAGTGGGATATAAGGGAAGTTAAGATGGAAGCACCCTTGGGAATGAGTGACCACAGTGTATTAAATTTTGAGTACCTGGTAGAGCTAGGAATTATATCTCCCCAAAGAGAACTAGGAAACAAAAGGCTGGCATACCGAAAGGGGAACTATGAGAAGATGAGACGTTTCCTGAGGGAAATACCTTAGGACACAGACCTCAAAGATAAATCTGTACAAGATATGATGGACTATGTCACCCAAAAGCGTCAAGAGGCAGTAAACAGGTTCATTCCGTCCTAAAGGGAAAAATCCGAGAAGCAACAGAAGAATCCATGGTATAATAGGGCATGTACGGAAGCAAAGGGACTGAACAAAAGGGCGTGGAGGAACTTCCGGAATAACAGAACACTAGAAAGCAGAGAGAGATACGAGAGAACCAGGAATGAGTATGTCAGGGTGAGAAGAGAAGCAGTGAAAAATTATGAAAATGATATAGCAAACAAAGCCAAGACCGAACCAAAGCTGCTCCACAGTCACATCAGGAGGAAAACAACAGTGAAAGAATAGGTAATGAAACTTAGAACAGACGAGGACAGGTATACAGAGAATGACAAAGAGGTGTGTGTGAAGAACTCAGCAAGAAGCTCCAGGAGGTCTTCACAATAGAACAAGGTGAGGTCACTGTGCTAGGAGAAAGGGAAGTAAACCAGGTGGCCTTGGAAGGGTTCGAAATTACGAGTGAGGAGGCCAAGAGACACCTGCTGGATCTGGACGTTAGAAAGGCTGTTGGTCCAGACGGGATCTCACCATGGGTACTGAAAGAGTGTGCAGAGGCACTTTGTTTGCCACTCTCCATAGTGTATAGTAGGTCACTGGAGACGGGAGAACTACCAGAAATATGGAAGACGGCAAATGTGGTCCCAATATACTTAAAGGGCGACAGGTAAGAGACACTGAACTACAGGCCATTGTCCTTGACTTGTATACCATGCAAGGTGATGGAGAGGATCGTGAGAAAAAACCTAGTAACACATCTGGAGAGTAGGGACTTCGTGACGAATTGCCAACATGGATTCAGGGAGGGTAAATCTTGCCTGACTGGCTGAATCGAATTCTACGACCAGATGACAAAGATTAAGCAAGCACCAGTGGAGTCCCACAGGGCTCTGTACTCGGTCCTATCTTGTTTCTGATATATGTAAATGATCTCCCGGAGGGTATAGATTCATTTCTCTCAATGTTTGCTGACGATGCCAAAATTATGAGAAGGATTAAGACAGAGGAGGACTGCTTGAGGCTTCAAGAAGACCTGGACAAGCTGAAGGAATGGTCGAACAAATGGTTGTTAGAGTTTAACCCAAGCAAATGTAATGTAATGAAGATAGGCGTAGGGAGCAGGAGGCCAGATACTAGGTATCATCTGGGAGATGAAATTCTTCAAGAGTCAGAGAGAGAAAAAGACTTGGGGGTTGACATCACGCCAGACCTGTCTCCTGCAGCCCATATCAAGAGGATAACATCAGCGGCATATGCCAGGCTGGCCAACATAAGAACGGCATTCAGAAACTTGTGTAAGGAATCATTCAGAACTTTGTATACCACATATGTCAGGCCAATCCTGGAGTATGCAGCCCCAGCATGGAGTCCATATCTAGTCAAGGATAAGACTAAACTGGAAAAGGTTCAAAGGTTTGCCACCAGACTAGTACCCGAGCTGAGAGGTATGAGCTACGAGGAGAGGCTACGGGAATTAAACCTCACTTCGCTGGAAGACAGAAGAGTTAGGGGGGACATGATCACCACATTCAAGATTCTCAAGGGAATTGATAGGGTAGATAAAGACAGGCTGTTTAACACAAGGGGCACACGCACTAGGGGACACAGGTGGAAACTGAGTGCCCAAATGAGCCACAGAGATATTAGAAAGAACGTTTTTAGTGTCAGAGTGGTTGACAAATGGAATGCATTAGGAAGTGATGTGGTGGAGGCTGACTCCATACACAGTTTCAAGTGTAGATATGATAGAGCCCAATAGGCTCAGGAACCTGTACACCTGTTGATTGACGGTTGAGAGGCGGGACCAAAGAGCCAGAGCTCAACCCCCGCAAGCACAATTAGGTGAGTACATGACACAACTCTACATACACATGACACAACGCCACATACACATGACACAACACCACATACACATGACACAACACCACATACACATGACACAACACCACATACACATGACACAACACCACATACACATGACGCAACACCACATACACATGACACAACGCCACATACACATGACAACGCCACATACACATGACGCAACACCACATACACATGACGCAACACCACATACACATGACACAACGCCACATACACATGACGCAACACCACATACACATGACGCAACACCACATACACATGACGCAACACCACATACACATGACGCAACACCACATACACATGACGCAACACCACATACACATGACGCAACACCACATACACATGACACAACACCACATACACATGACACAACGCCACATACACATGACGCAACACCACATACACATGACGCAACACCACATACACATGACGCAACACCACATACACATGACGCAACACCACATACACATGACACAACACCACATACACATGACGCAACGCCACATACACATGACGCAACACCACATACACATGACGCAACGCCACATACACATGACGCAACACCACATACACATGACGCAACACCACATACCTGGGTCAAAATCGTCGGAGTGGAACTTGAAGGTCACTTCGAGAGGCCGTTCCAAGTCTTGCAGATTTTCCTGTGGGGGCGAAGGTCATGAATCGTCAGAGCAAAGTCGATCTAAGGACTTTTTATTTAGTTTATTTAACTAATTTTAATCCACAGTGTTCTTCATTCATATATATTTATTTGTTATGGTGACAATTATGATAAAAGTTGTCCCCAGTGAAACTGCAAGCAAGAGCTGGTAGTCACCTCAGCTCATCTGAAGCCTACTACTTGAGACTCATTTACTTCAAGAGAATGTACTTTAAAGCTAACACATATGGAACTATCATAAAAGGAACCTGGTGAAACTGTAAGCAAGAGCTGTAAACCTGCTTCAGCTTAGTTCAAACCAGCTCCCAGAGATCCATTAATTTCCTGAGCCTATCATATGCATCATTCGGAGTAAATATTCTCTCTCTCTCTCTCTCTCTCTCTCTCTCTCTCTCTCTCTCTCTCTCTCTCTCACCTTCATATTAAGAACAAAGGTGAGGCAGGTCTCTACTCCCTGCTCGAGGGTGGCCTTAGAGATGACATGACTGGTGTTGGTGGTCACAAAGGTCGCTCTTGGGGTCAAGTTCTCATCCACAGTGCCGTTAACGTCCATGCCTGTCGTGTATACATGCAAGGTACACACAGAGCTAATGTACACACAGTCAATGTACATAAATGTAAGGTATATAAATATATTATGTACACAGTGTACACAGATGTGGTTTACAAACATAGAATGTACACAGAATTGCTGAACGCATGTATTGTGTAAACAAAGAGATTGCATTACACACTGATACTGTACACTAGGATATTGTACACAGACATACTGTACATTAGGATACTGTGCATAGAAAATGTACAAAAAGATAATTTGCTTATATAATAACCACATATATAATGTTATTATAACACACACATAATGTTTTTTAATGATTTATTAGTCCTAACTAATAATGATTTATTAATCCTAAGTTGGAGCAAAAGAATTAATGAGGAGGGACTAGGATTTGGATGTGAAATTGATAATTATCAATGCTTTTTTTATTTTATCTCTAATTTGTTTTGATGTATGCATATGTTATTGCTTATGTTTTGTTGATGATCAACATTCTAATGTCTTATTAGAATTTGATGGACTGACACCGAAATATTTATGTTACTATTAAGATATAATGTTAACGTTTAATGTATTTGATTTACTATGTTGATACCCATACCCTAAGATAATTTATTAATTGAGATTTCTGTAAAAATGTTGATAGGACTATATGATTCGGAAGAGGCAAATTTGTTGAGATCAGAGAAGTCCTAAGAATAGTTTATGGTTTGATCAGGGTAAATTTGTAGTTAATTTAAACTACTGAGAACTAGGCTATTAAGAGTAACCTATATTGTGAACTATTTATAAGTTATAGAAGTAATGATTTTGCAGTGTGGATATAATAGAGATATCGTGAGTATATACATTTATTTATTATTGTTGAGTGTTAATAAGAGACATATCTTAACACGTCTCGATTTTGAGATTGTACAAAAATCTGAATAAGTGTTACTGCTCCCCTCCCTGCCTTGGCGACCTTAGGGTGGAGTTAAGTTTACCAAATTCTATCAGCACTGTTTAACTAGCCTTATTATAAGATTATCGTGGGAGAGATTAGTAGAATGGAATTCAAAAAAAAAATTGCAGGAACCCAAGGATATCAGGGAGGCTGACAGCTCTGCGAGCATGAGACTACATGTGGGCGGTGACTCCTACACCCTAATTTGGTATTTCCTCAAGTACCGTACGAGAAAAAGGCAGCTACCTCCCACTTGCAGTTGATTCCCTTTTTTTCCCTTTTATTTAATGTAAGGTGAGGACTCGCTGATCGGGTTAGGACGTCCTAGTCGTCCTTACATCTGGAGGCTCGGTCCGGGAGTAGGGCAACCTCGACTTTACATCTAGGGGACCTATCCGAAGATGTAGAGAATCCCCGACCTCACATTTGGGGGTTTGAAAGGGGCAGGTGAGGGTCCCTCTACCTTACATTTGGGGAATAGTCCGGGACAGGGAGTTCCTTTCCATTACAGCACACATATCTAATGTGAATTTACACAAAAAATGTACATAAAGATAATGTACATAAAGATAGTGTACACAAGAGTAATGAACACAAGGATAATGTACATAAGGATAATGAACACAAGGATAATATACATAAGGATAATGCACATAGATAATGTACATAAGGATAATGCACATAGACAATGTACATAAGGATAAAGCACAATAACAATGTACATTAGTATAATGTACACAGGTAATGTTAGTAACGTTAGTGCACAAACAGATAATATTCACAAGGATATTATACACAAAGATAATGTACACAGAAAACGTCCACAAACATATAGTGTAAACAAATATACACATATTAATTATATACTATACACTGGTATTGTTTACACAGATAAATACGACCAATATAAATAATGTTAACATATAATATACATTGGGATATTTTATTTAAAGATAATATATATAGAAGGTCTTTCTTGTGATGATGTACATACATAATGTGTGCACAATACAATTGGACTATATAGACCAATATAGTGAATTCACAAAGTGTTACACAAAGATTATATACACAATTCATATTTCGATTTTGTTCCTGAGTAGTAAGTGTTATTTGGTAAGTGCATATAGCTCCATAGTGTACAAATTTATTGTTATTCTCCACAAACTCTGTTTTTATGACCAGGACTATTTTTGTTTGTTTTCCATATTTTCCAGAACGTTTCAAAAATATTCCGTACTGAGTAAATTTGGAGTAACTTCTAGAACTTTCCATTAATATAAATAGTCGTTCCCGTGGCTCGGTGCACCTCATAGAGGATTACAACAGCATCAAGAGCTTGCTGGATGCCTTGAAGTATTATGCGTGTGGCTAGATCATCAGACAATTCAAAATGGTCGCATTCGGGACAAGTCTGCAAGGCGGTGTTATCAAGTTTCTATGTTATTGCCTTTGGTTCATGCTGAGACGCTAAGGTGCACTGTCACAGGCGGGACCGACTACAGCAGACCCAGTTCTCTATGGGGAGGAACAGCATCAATAGGCGGCCATTGATGGACCACCGGAAGGTGTTGATGCTACCACTCACGCACATCAAACTGGGTCTTGTGAAACTATTTGTCATAATTAAGACAAGGAGTTGGCAGCCTTCAAGTGCTTTTAAACCTTCTTCCTTAATTAAGGTGTCATAGGTAAAAGTAAAAATGTCGGCGTCTTCATCGACCACAGATGAGGATATTGCATAGCAAGGAATTCTCAAAGCAGTTCACTAGGGAGGAAAAAGCTTCTTGGAACAGCTTTGTTGCAGTAGTTCCGTGGTTCCTTGGGCAATCACAAGGTTGTAAACTATGTGGAGCTGGTTTTTGAAGAACCAGCAGAACTATGGCAGAATGTGCTGGTGGGTATCTCTAAAAACCATTTTCCTTGATGCTCATCATGATGAACTCAAGGAGAACTTGGGAGCATACTCGCAGGAGCAAGGCAATTACTTTCACCAGGATATGCTACATTTTAAACGCTGTTGACAAGAACAGTATTATGAGAACACAACTGGAGACATCATTTGAGGGACTGATGTGGTGTATTTGCCCACAGGGATTGTGGGAACCGACCTGTGAGATTTATATTTATTTAATTTATATGAATTTATATAGAATTTATATTTACGTTAATTTATATTTTTCTATAACAATTTGTATGAGGTTAAGTGGACTGAATTTCTGCAAATTCTCACAAATCGATCCATACACATTAGGAGGGGGTTTATATTAAATTTATATATATGTAGCCAATCAAATTACAGTATTAAACTACATATATTAGTATATAAAATTGGGGGTGCCTTATCATATTGTACAGCAGGCTTAGTCCACCAGATATAACAGGGATGTAGACACCAAATTATCCTCGTGTGAGGCTAGCTTCCATCACCCAAGTATCTGATGTACCAAGATTAATTCTTGCTTCCTCTTCTTGTTCCTGTCAAAGGGCACTAGCTGTAAAGCCGGAATCCTAATATATGACAGCAATATCAGAGAAAACACTGTATATTATTAGATAAGGACCAAGGCTTAATTACCTGTGTTGAGTCGATCGTTCGTGTTCTAACCGGAAATAATCCTATCTAACATAACATTACTGGCCAATAACAACTTAGATAAGATTTCGGAAAGACACTTCCCTTGTGGTTGTTGACAGCGTGTTGATGATGGTAGAACACTTAAGCTAATCTCCATAACACTTCGTCCAAGAGAATTATAGGAGCGGAATTTGCTCCAACGACTCTGGTCTTAACAATCACTGACCTCCTTCCACTGACGCTCCTGGCTCACTTTGTCCAGATGTCAGTAACTGATAGAAGGGTCACATTTACTCTATTTTGATACTGATAATTAAGTTAATTCAAATGAGATGTTTTTATGATGTAATAAGTCCAAAGACTACTGTATTAAGTATAATTCCCAACAGAATAGCTGGTGAATTTATAGTACTATGTGGCAATGATATCTCGTTTTCTATTGACGGAAAATGCCACTACAAGCTACATTTTCTATAGGTAAACTTGTGTATACAACAGCAGCAATATTATCTGCATATTGCATGTAATATTAGTAAATGGTGTCCGTTTTCCGACAGGGATCAGCAAATTAATTTGTTTATTTATTTAGATATTAAATCATTAATTTATTGAACTTATTTAATTGATAATTATTAACTCAAAGTGGACTGTATATTTAACAGTTTATCCTGGTAGGTGTTTACCTAATCACATATTTGGGGGGTTTATGTATCTAGCCTATACCACAAATAATCTATAATAAAATAACCTACTAAATTAATGTTAGTACTACTGCTAAATGGGTTAGTAACATGGTAATCAATGTCTTAGCTGTCAAGTTGTACACAGCCTAGTAATAGGCCCTAGACACTCCCTAGTCACGTATGAAAAACTCATTGCTTTAAGACCTAATGGTGACCGTGAATGCTTCCTGTTGCACTAAGATGACTCGATATTATTTCTTCTTCCCTCTAACTGCACCTGCCGAGTAACTAATAAGTAGCAACCTGTCACTAGTATATAGACACTGTATATATCAGGGAAGAGATTCTGTTTTATAAAACGAGGGCTTACCTGTTCCGGGTTTTGGTCAGTCTTCATAACTGGCAAAATTTGTATAAAAATTATTGGCAACCAATTTACACATATACACAACTAATTTTAACCCGGTGCAATACTTCCCTAGGTAGCGAAATCGTGGGTTGATCGGAGACTCTTGTGATTTCTTTGTCACGAAGTTCGCGGGAAGTGTATGATCTCTTCGTGTCTACTCAGGAGGGAGGCTACACTCTGTCTGTGTGACCACGAACGTAATGGCGTCTGTCTCCCTCCCACTCTGGACGTTCAGAGCGCAGTTCTAAATGAAGTCATTATCGACATAGGGAAGTATACTATGTATTTAATGTGTTTTAATTAAAACCTGTGCTGCAGAATACATTTTTTTATCATATTTAGTCTCCAAGCTGGTGTTTTAAGGATACGTGTTAAGGCTAAAT